AATTATGATTCGTGAGATTTAGTTGGGGACTGCATCAACAATTCCAAATAGATACAACATTATTAATGAGATTGTGATTTATGGAACTGTTAAACTTGGTAACTTAAACCATTATTGATAGAATGACTACCTTTTCACTTGAATTGATTCTTTTCATTGTATGTTTGTAATAGTTATGAAAATGTACTTTAAACATAAATTTGTGTTTCCTTACGATGAGCAAAATATTAATGAAAGAAATGTTCGAGATAGAAGGGATGAAAATGATGTTGGAGATAAAAAGGATAACGAATTTGGTGATGAAATGAATGAAATTGATGAAACTAGTCTTGAAGATGTCCCAATTGAAACAAATGTCAAGGATGTTGGGGATGAAAGGCTTGAATTTGATGTTGCATAGTTTCCTTTGGGTCATGGATTGAAGGCTCCAGTACAAAATTATGATGCTGATGTTCGAGATGTAATTCTAAAAGCATATGTGCAAAAGAATCCATGCCAGCCTCGTAATCATGAATTTCCACCCAAAAGAATGGCTAATAAAGATAGGTCATTTTGTGTTTCATGGTTTAACGAGTATCCTAGTTTGTTGGAATATATAGTACAACAAAAGATGCTGTATTTTGCTTATACTGCTATCCTTTTAGCTCAAGTGATGGTTCATTTGGAAAAAAAAAAGAAAATTATTAGAAAACACATTGGGGCACCAAGTGGTGCACACAAATAGGCTCGAGTCCAGTATGAATCATTCAAGACAAGGACAAAGCATTCAATCGTGTCTCTTTAAGCAATCACATCAAGCTCGAACAAATTATCGAATTCGCTTGAATGCATCAATTGATTGTGTTCGATTTCTTCTACAACAAGAGATGACCTTTCGTGGACATGATGGATTTGAAGATTTAAACAATCGAGGGAACTTTCTTGAACTATTACATTGGTTGTGTTATCATAATGCTGAGATTGCACTAGAAAAATCACAAATTGACATCACCACGAGCTCAGAAAGACATTGTAAGTGCTATCGCTTTAGCAACTCTAAATGTGATTATCAAAGATATGGGGGATAGCTTGTTTTCTATTATAGTTGATGAATCTTGAGACATTTCAGTGAACGAGCAAATATCAGTTGTCATTCATTATATGAAGAATGGGCATGTATTGGAACAATTTATTGGTGTTACGTATGTTTTGAGTACCACAGCTGTTACGCTTAAGACTGCAATTGATCAATTATTCTCCACGCATAGCTTAAGTATATCTAATTTGAGATGTCAAGAATATGATGGAGAGTGTCAAATCACTTATTTAGAATGAAAACCCAAGTGCTTACTACATTCATTGCTTTGCTCTTCAACTTCAACTAGCATTTGTAGCTGTGTCACAAAAGCATCTAAAAATTGAAGCTTTCTTCACTTCAGTACACAGATTAGTGAATATTGTTGGAGGATCGGCTCAGCAAAGTGATCTTATTCGAGAGAAACAAAGACTCAAAATTCTTGAAGCACTTAGTGTTGGTGAAATATCAAGTGGACGAGGTCTCAACCAAGAAACTACTCTTAAGCGTTCTGGTGATACTTGTTGGGGTTCTTATTACAGTTGTTTGATTAACATGATTCTCATGTTTTCAGCCATCGTTGACGTTGTTGAGGCGATTGCTACTGATATACAAGTTCCGAAGCAAGAGGTGATGCAAATATTTTATTGGAGACAATGTTGAAATTCGAATTTGCATTTATTCTATATCTTATGAAAAAGATCTTGAGAATTTCTAATGAATTGACGAAAGCATTGCAAGGAAAAGATCAAGATATTGTCAATGTCATGAAATTGGTTAAATTATGTAAAGTATAGGTTCAAACCATGAAGGATGATGGATGCGATTCTTTTTTGGAATGGTTTTTTCATTCTGTGAAGTTCATGAGATTAATATTTCAAATATGGATGATATATTCATAACTCTAGGTTGTTCACGACGTGCTACAATAACAAATTTGCATCACTTTCGTGTGAAATTATTTTATGCCATCATTGACATGCAACTTCAATAATTGAATGATAGTTTTTCAGAGGTGAATAGTGACTTACTCCTTTGTATTGCGTGTTTGTGTCCAAATAATTCATTTGCTGCTTTTGACAAGAACAAAGTGATTCGACTATGTGGGTATTATCCAACAAATTTAACACAACAGATATCTCAGAACTTGATTATCAATTAGTTACATATGTTCTTAACAAGAGCACTAATGTTGAAGGATTACAAGGCCTTAGTGATCTAGCTAAAAAATTGGTTGCAAAAAATAAGCATGAA